TAACCAGCCTTCTAGGACTGCTTTATCAATCTACACTGAGTGCAGCTGGTAGTCTGCTGCTGATTTTTAAAGTTGTAGCAACCCTTACTGCATTTATACTAAAGTAATTGAAGTTGCCATCTACAGGTAGAAAATTCCTGGAGGAATCAAGTCTAATAAGCCTGTTATATTCATCTAAACTGGTTATAACACATTTGCTATAGTATTGAAAGTAGCCAACTTGTTATCGTCTTACAAATGAAGTAACCTCCTGGGTTTATTGTATGGGTTAAGTCAGCAGCAGCTACACATCCCTTCAGGCACCTCAATCACAAACATTGACCTTGCCAGCTAGGTAATGAAATTACTGCAGACTGGTCTAAGATGTCTCAATCACAAGAAACATGATAAATCCAATTCAGAATTTAATCCTTTTGGTTGAAGAGTTCCAATAGAATGTATATAATATGCCTCTCTTTGTAGAAGTGTTTTCTGCATATCCATTCTGTCATTATCCTCTATGGTTTCCAGTACACTATATTTGAAACCATCATGTTTATGATTTTTTTCAATAAAATGTTGGACTAAAAACGTATCCCCCCTTCTTCAATTTAAGAAGAATTTAAATCATGATTTATGTTCAGAAATTCTGGAGCGTATTGGTCAGGTTGTGATCCCTATGTAGATTAGGGAACACCTACAAATTAAAGCATATATTAAATTTTTTGATGGACAGTTGCTTTGATGGTATAGCACCTTCTCATAATTGTATAATGGAAATTCTACCTTAGTTTGCCAGGTCAATTTACAAACAGAGCAATGTTCACATCTGTAGTGCCCCCTCCTGGGCTTTGGTGGAACCTCTATTTGATTTATCCTCTCTTTCAAAGGGTCTGCCCAAATTAGTAAATCCCTAAAGTTCTTTAAGGAGCTGCGGTGGCTCAAGTGGTTAAGACGCTGAACTGCCGGCTGTGGAAGGTCAGTAGTTCAGTAGTTCAGCAGTTCGAGACCCGAGTTGCCGCATGATGGAGTGAGCTCCCGTCTCTAGTTCCAGCTCCTGCCAACCTAGCAGTTCGAAAGCAAGAAATTGCAAGTAGATAAATAGGTACCACTTTGGTGGGAAGGGAACAGCGTTCCGTGCGCCTTGGTGTTTAGTCATGCCGGCCACATGACCACAGAAACTTCTTCGGACAGCGCTGGCTCTTCGGCTTTGAAACGGAGATGAGCACCGCAACCCTAGAGTTGGACTCGACTGGCTTTCGAGCAAGGGAACCTTTACCTTGACTAAAGTTCTTTGTCCTTCTGAAACCAATGTTTGGCTTATCCCGGCAGCCTGGTATATTACGCAATACATGCCAGTGTTTCAGGACAATCCTTTTGATTTCCAAAGCTTTAGGCGTAAAGTCAAATGCTGTAAAGATGTTCTGTCGTAAATGTTTTTTCTTTTCCTATAACAGGCAAGTGGGGAGAACGGGAGGAAGGGAAAGATGTTACAGCACTTAATAAGGCAGGAATACAACAGGTACAGTAAATTAAAAGCCTGAGCCTGACAAGACATGACCTACAATATGGTGGTGGTTTTGTTTCCATTTAAAATCACACAAATTCATGAGGATCCTTGTCTTGGATCCATTTTTTTTGCATCACGGGAGCACCATGGAGCACTGGATCCGTTATTTTTGTGGTGCAATCCATGGCTATGGACATGATGGTGAGCCAAGGGAAAAATCCTGAGGACATCTACTTCAGAACCGTGGTTTTGTGCTGTTGCCACACCAGCAAGCTATGGATCCCGGATTTTTGCACTGTGGTGTGCGGCTATGGATGTGATCTGTGCTCTGATGGTGTGTTTAAAGTGACCTCAAGCTCCTGAAGGCTCCATGGTTCGGAAGTACATTTTTATGCCATCGTGGACCCATGAAGCGGCATATGCAATACTTTTGTGACGCTGCCTATAGACTAAAGACATAAGACTCTGTAGCGAGGCCTCTCTCAATTGCCATGATAATTAGGGAACATAAGATTAAATCTCTTGCTGGCTGACCTTGATCGTATTTCAGATCTGAGGCAGCATTTCAATCTGTATTCTTTGCTGTATATTTTATGTATGCCAATATAAGTACTGAAACTAAAACTACGACATGATCTACAATATAATGGTGGTTTTGTTTCAATATCGAAATCCTACAAATCCACAAGGCTCCACACCGCCTAAGAACCATGTTGTTTTTGCACCACAAAGTAGAGAGTCTGTGTTTGTTCTGGTTCAGTCTGTGCTCCTGGCTTTGACAGGTGACTTGATCCTGGATTTGATGGCTTCTGTTGCAGGCATCCATCTGAATAGGCCTCCCCCCAGTGACCGCCTGCAGGGCCTGGAAGCCAGACTGTGAGCACATTACCTGCTGTTGAGGTGTGTTGCTGTCTTAATGCTGATGATTTAATGAAATAAGGATGATGATTTTATGGTTTTTAAATTGATGATTGTAACATGTTCTTAATATTGTAAATCTGCATCAACTGCAGATCCATGTATGTGGTTAGATACAGACGTGTTGTTAGAGCCAGTCTGGTGTGGTGGTTAAGTGCCTGGGCCAGGTTTGATTCCCCACCATTATGAGCTGAGATCGAGGCAGCTTCTTAAACAAGTGATTTCATTTCATTCAGCTCGTAACAACACTAGACAAAAATGCATAGAGCAAGGCTGACTTATATACGATTTGAAGGGGCAAAACCACACCCCATAAACAGATAACCACCAATGGGAATAGGGAGCTTGGAGCCCATGAGCGGGGTTCTCTGATTGGCCCATCTGTCAGTCCAGGCAGGGCTCTGTTTTTCAGAGGCACTGCGCTTAAGCGAATCGGTGCTCTACTGGCTTAAGACCCAACACCCAGGCCTCCACTTGCACCTGCTGGTGTGACCCTGGGTCCGTCCCAAGTTCTCTCAAGGGGCGTCCTCGAAAGAGCGCTCTCTCCGCCCCCTCTCCCTGGCCGGGTGTGTGGGGGGGAGGGGTCTGCCAGCCGCTCTGGCACTCCCTTCCCGTGGAGGGTGGTGGGGGTGGGGGGGTATGGATCCCCCAATCTCCTCCTCACCTGCCCTGAGCCGCCTACAATAGGTTTCACGATATGCACACTTCCTGGTGCAGGAACGACCCAGGGCGCTTCGTTCGCCTCCTGAGGGGGGCGTTTACTGTCCCCCCCCCAAGAGTCTCCTCCTCCTCCTCCCGTGTAAAAGCCCCCTCCCCCGACACACACCCCA